GGACACATGTCATTAGCAGCTCTCCTGTAGCCTCGGTTCCTTGGGGCTAGTTCTCAGCCAATAACAGGGAAGCTCAGCAAGCACTTCTGGGAAAATGACAATTGTAGAAAATGGTGCAGACTATATCCCATCTAACCTCACTGGCAGAAAGGTGGATACTGGGGAAAATGCAAAGGTTTATTCCCTAAATATGGGGTCTTCCAATCTTTCAATAGGAAGAGCTCAGCTCAGTTTTCACCAGCCTTTTTTCCCTAGAGCCCATCCATTGCCCTCAATGTTCTTGCAAAACTGTCTGGCAGCTAGCTAGGGAGGCTGAACTTTCTAAAGCAGCCCATGTACAAATTACTTGGGCTACATTATTCATATTGCATTAGAGGTCATGTGCTTGCTTTCTCAAAAGCCCTTATAAAGTAGGAGTCTTCTGATTCTCTTTTATCTACTGGACTTTGTGGAGTCTTTTCTAACCCTCTTTCCTTCATTTTTTTTTCTTTCTACCTTCTCACGTGATTCTATTTCTTCCTTCCTGGCTATTAGATGGTCTTATTTCTGAGAGGCAAAATGGCCAAGAAAAAGACTCAGACTTGTTGATAAAAATAGTTTTAAAGTGGTTGTGCATAATTTCAAATGATCCAAAGGACTGATTTTGCATAGCTTTTAAAATCCAGAAATTTTTAAGTGAATAAAGATCTGTAAACTTCACCTCCCTCTGAAAGATACCCAGCTACCCTGCTTTAATCCCTGTCATCCCCAGAAGGCTCGGCAGGCCAGTGTCAAGACACAGCGCATCAAAGACATGCAGATAAAATAGGAGGGCAGACGCATGGCTCCTGTAGGCTGTTATTTGCCAATGAGTCATGATTAATATCCAGAGCCTTCTGCTGTAGCTTCCTGGTTAGCCTGCTGTGAATTTGCAGGGGCTGTCAACACGCAAATTTTCTGATAGAAAAGGTTCTTTGCTCTCAACTCTGCGAGCGCTAGCCCTGTGGTGAGCTCATTACTGAAGCCACCAAAGCCTGTCACCAGCATGGGCTGGAGTTCCTAGCAAGCAGAGGACTCTGCATGTACCAAAGTCAAACTACCACCAGGATTCGGAAAATGATTCAACCAACAGCATACCTGAATCATCTTTCCATTCACTCAGGAGAGGAATTAATATTCTTCACGTCAAAGATTGGCAGAGTAGAAGGAAATATATCGAATTTTCCCTTTCAGAGTATCTCATAAACTCTAGCCCTCTGCCTCGGTTCTTCTGTCCTCTGCCTGAGCCAATCCAGGCCTGATGTGTATGATCTCCCACCCCGTACAGGGCACCTAGGGATACGAGCCTGAGGCCTCCAGTGCATCTCAGTTTATTGGCCTGTACTTCTTCTTTGGCCCTCACTCCAACTTTAGCCTGACGACTATAAAACTGCTACCCACGCCCCATCTTCCCTTTGCCTGCTCCATGCACTCACACGCCCTCTGTTTATGTAGAGAGAAAGAGCACAGTAAACACTACGAGTTTCCACTAATTTCAATGATGCTAAACTAAATAAGAGTTAAAGCACAATTTTCATAGGGAAAAAAAAATATCTTGGTGAAATCCTTCAGATACCTTTAACTGAATCTGGCTGGACCTTCCTCTCATGCCCAGTCTAGCCGTGAGAAAATCTGGAAATCCACTACTTCTTGCCATGGTTTTAGGAAGTAAAAACCAGAAGAACATAGGTTATATATTCAGCTCCCAGAAATCCAAAATGGAAACTCAGAATCCATAATAAAGAAGAGCTGGTATAAATAAAATCCATCACCAGAGACAATTCCCAAAGCTCATGATGGCCTTTATATTTCAAATTATCCCCCACTCATTTTTAAAAAAAGAACTGTGTAGCACATAGGACCAAATTGATTTACTCTCTTCTCTTCCTTTCTCTGCCTACTGTTTGGTAAAGGTTTTGGAAAGAATAGGTGTTTTTACGCTATGTGAATTACATCTCACTTTTTCAAAAAGAAGAAAGAAGTGGCGAAAATATGAACAGCTGGGGATAAAAAAAAAAGGAGGGGGGAAGCAAAGAGCCTAGCTCAGCAACAGCACAGAAACGGTTAGCAGGAAACAAGCAGCAGCTGTCCCCTTCAGCCAGGCCATGTGGTCACCAGGTCACTTCAGACCCACCACCCACTTCATGAATTTATGGTTCCTGCTTGGCCTTTGTAAGTAGTGGAGTTTTAAACCTCAGGGGGAGATGATACAAAAGCTGAACAATCAATCTTTGACTAACTGAGTGAATTGCTTTTCTATTTCCATTATAACAAGTTACGATAAATTTAGGGGCTAAAAACAACATAAATGTACTATCTCACAATCCTGAATGTTCGACATCTGACATGGCTCTCACCAGGCTAAAATTAAGGTGAGAGCAGAGTTCTGCTCCTTTCTGAAGGCTCTAGGGGACAATCCACTTCCTTGCCTTTCCCAGCTTCCTGAGGCTGCCCGCATTTCTCTGCCCTTCCTCCATCTTCAAAGCCAGCAACATAGCATCTCTCTCTGATCCTGCTTCTACCCTTACATCTCTTTCCTTAACTCTCCTCTTTTGCTTCCCATCTTCCAGTTCAAAGGACCCTTATGATTACATTGGATAATCCAGGCTAATCTCCCTACTAGCTGATTAGTGATTTTTCAAACTCCCCTTTGCCATGTATGGGAACATTTATAGATTCCAGGGATTGGGAATGGATGTCTTTGGCGGGGGCGGGGGGGGAGGGCTTTATTCTGCCTACCATAAACCACAATCAATCTGTAGTTCATGAATTATGATAGAAAATTTGAAAGCATACACCTTTTACAGACAACTGCATTTGGATTTATAATATATAAGCTCCTTAAAAAGTAATATTGGGACTTCCCTAGTGGTCCAGTGGTTAAGACTTCACCTTCCAATGCATGGGATGCAAATTCTATCCCTGGTCGGGAAACTAAAATCCAACATGCTGCAGAGCAACTAACCCACAAGCCAGAACTAGAGAGCGCACATACCATAACTGAGTCCACACTGTAACTAGAGAAGCGTGTGTGCCACAATGAAGAGCCTGCATGCTGCAGTGAAGACCCAGCAGAGCCAAAATAGAAAAAACCAAAGAGGAATTTCTTTTTTAAAAAAAGTTATATGCAAAACAAATTATAATTTAAAGTCATTATAAGTGAAAGTGTTAGTCGCTCAATCATGTCTGACTCTTTGTGACCCCATGGACAGTATGGACTGTAGCCCACTAGGCTCCTCTGTCCATGGAATTGTCCAGGCAAGAATATTGGAGTGGGTAGCCATTTCCTTCTCCAGGGGATCTTCCCAACCCAGGGATGGAACCCGGGTCTCCTGCATTGTAGGCAGATTCTTTACCATCTGAGCCACCAGGGAAGTCCCAAAGTCATTAGACTAACTCACTATTGAAACGAATCCTGTGGTGAATGGTTTTGTAAAGATATTAACTCCCTGATGTCTCCTTTTAGGAATCCAGATTTTCACACATTTACTTAATGTTGGACTAAAGCTTAAGTATGGGTAAAGCATTTTAATATTTTGAGAAGTTAGGGGAAGAGAGTTGAATCAAAAACCATAGAACCATTTTCTAAGAAACTGCCCAGAATTATCACCTTCACAGGGACATTTCTGAACCTGATAATTCTGATAGGAAATATAATAAAGACTTGAATCTCACTCACTCAGCTAGGGAGCACCAACAACATGCTGATTAAGATCACAGGCTCAGGCATCTGCCTACGTAGGTTCTGATCCTACCTCTGAAAAATCAAAGCTATATGACCTTGGGTTAATCACTGAATTTCTTTGTGCCTCACTTTCCACACATGTCAACCAAGAATAATAATTCTACCTGTATCTTAGGACTGCCATGATGATTAAAAGAGATACAGAATATGAAACATTCAATATGGAGACTGGCACAGATCAAGTCATCCATAAATGGATTTTCTTATCCTCACCACGTGCCAACGCACAGGTTTAGGTGCGAGAGACATATAGGAAGTATTCTGCAACTTAGATTCATTATTTTTAGCACTTGAAAATGAAAGTGAGAACAGGACATAACCACTAAATGGAAAGCAGCAGGCAAAATATTAAATTAAGATAGAACTTGAGTCTTCCCTTGGTAGACACCCATGGTTTCTGCTTGCAGGCTATGTGGAAGATAGAATGACCTTTTATACTTAATGGAAGTGTGAATCACCCTCGGCAAACCACATGATGTGATATTGAATATCTGAAAGAACAGTTATATTTGGTATCAGAGAATAATTTGGTTTTCTGCTCAGAATCTTCAAGTAGTTTGTTAGTTTTACCTTTGGATTTTAATGGCTCTCCACCACCTCCTGAACAAAAGCCAACTTCATGTCTGAGGCATTCATGGCACAATTTGATCCCTCTCAATGTTTCTAACTTCATCTTGCACAAACCCCATGCATAAAGTTGCTATTCTGGCCAAACTACAAAACTCTAGTTCTGACAGGACTAAGGTACGCCTCGGTATGGTAGCTAATTTGGTATGTTTTTTAAAATCTCGTTTGGAGGTTTCTGGAGGCCAGGAATGCCATCTTAGATATCCATACATTTTCCCCATAGTGATCAACATAGAATGAGCAACTAATTAAATTTGTTAAAGAAAGAGAGTACCCTATTCTTCTACTCAATTTACATTCATTTCCACACAGGAACCTTTGATGCCTTTTTTGTTTCAAAGCTATTTTCTTCATTCAACTGACAACCTCCTTTTCAAACACCCTGATTCAGAAGATAATAATTACATTTCTTTAAAAAGGTACGCTTCTAAATTTACCTAAGGTTTCAGAGTTCTTCAATTCCATACTTCTGTGAGAATTCTCTCACTAAAGAATTTTTTTTGCTGGGGCTCCTTGCTAAAAAATTCTTAAAAAGAAATATTGTTTCCAGAGAGGCTAGTCATGGCACTATCCTTAAAATGATGAAATAATAATAATAACTACTTCCTACCTTCATGGTAACCGTGATGGTGCTATTTACATTGGCTTTATGCAACCAGCCTTGTTTGATCACACCACCCTTCTGAGAGCATAAAGATGATGAATCCTGAAACAGAGGGAAAACCATCAGCGAAACAGCAGCTGGTCCATTATCTAATCAAACAATTGGGGAGCACGAACTAGGCCCTGCCCCATTTTGCAAAGCATAAAGTTCCCTCTCCCTGCACCCCCCAACTCCCCCTTGAAGATGCCTGATTAAACCTGAAATTGTTAACAACAGGATGAAAGGCTCTGTGCTGAGAAATGAAATATTGCCTGCCATATCAGTAGACAAAGGATGTCAAAGTCAACAGCAATTGCAGCCACCAAGGATGGTGAGCTGGTGAGCCCTGAGAGAACCCAGGAAGGAAAGAATACCTGCCATCTAGCAGCCATCAGATTGCAGCCACTCCCTGCAGGGAGCCCTGAGGAAACTCAGGATCCTGGCTCCAGATAGCAGAGGTGCATATCAAAGGAATGATGTCACTGAGTCCTGACTCTTGCATCTTTCCATACAAAGAAGAGTGCTAAATTCATTAACTTGGTTTTCTTTAATTAACAATCATCTTTTGATGTTCAGAATTCCTGCCCTTCATCACAAAACTTCTAAATAACCTGGCTCCTCCTCTTTGCCTCCACTGCGCAGTTCTTTCAGGGTTACTTGAGATGCTGTCTCCCGGCTTGAAGTCCTTAAAATGTCGACTGAATAAAAACGTAACTCTCAACTTTTAGGTTGTGGATATTTTTTAAGTCCACAGTGCCATGCAAACAATAGACACTCAATATTTACTGGATCATATGGGCTGTCTTGTGGGAAAGTCTTCTGCATTATGTAAATGGTCAAACTTCACCTCAAAATGTCATAGACATCTGGGTCCTCTGTCCCAAAAGCGATCTATCAGGCAGGAGAGCCCAGATGAATCACCACACCACAAGCCCAGTGTGGGAAAAGCAACTCCACAAGTGTGTCCCACAGGTGGGAAAATGTGTTTATACATACATCACTGCCCATTTCACTTTATTTTTCCTAAACTCCATTTGGAAATACAACAATGTTAAATTAAAAAAAAAAACACTCATTAGCTTGAAAGTTTGCCCCAGATCATTCATAAACAATTCTTTCCCTCATCTTTTCTCAGAGAAATCTCTCTCAACACAAGGCACCTTGAATAAACCAGTGCAATTGCCCCCATCTTTACCTCATCCTTCTCACAGTCCTCATCAATCTCAAATACATGATTGGGAATCTTTTCTGGTCGCAGAGACTTGCTGAAAATATAAAAGAGTTGTCTTAGACACTGAGCAAAATAGAAAAAAAGAAACCAAATCAAGATAAGTAGACTTCTTTCTTTCACAACCAAGAAAATGCCAAGACATAAGAAGGTGGAATTCTTTTCTCCTTTTCAAACTCAGATTCTCCCCTCTGGCATTACCTTCCGTAAAAGGACTCCCACATGTGCAGCCAACAGCGAAGACTAACTAAGCCCAAATTGCAAGGAATGCACGCCAGAGCTGTCAGTGGTGGTGGGACCTTATCTTTCCCAGGCCAAAAAGCAACCCCATGTCATTCTGGCTCTTCCATCTGTTTGCTATATGATCCTGGACTGACCATCTTAGGACTCAGCTTTAAAGAACATTTTTAAGACTCAGTTTTCTTCTCTGGGAAAGTGCCTTGAAAGCTACCAAAGGCTACACCAAGTCTTATTCCTCCAAAACATCTCCCATGTGATATCCTATGAGGTTAATAATCTTAGGGATGAAAAGGGGAGGAAAGAACTTTCAAGTGACTGAGTGACTAGCCCAAGGTCACCCAGCTAGGAAGTGGTAGAAATAAGATTTGAACCCTGACAGTCTGGCTGTTGGGCCAGAGTGCTCACAGCAGCCTTTCAACTCAAATGAAAGAGATGCACTTTAAAAAAAAATTATCTACTTATCTATTGGGCTGCATCAGGTCTTAGTTGTGGCACACGAGCTTAGCTGCCTCACAGCATGTGGGGTCAAAGTTCCCCAACCAGGAATCTAACCCATGTCCCCTGTATTGCAAGGCAGATTCTTAGCCACTGGATCACCAGGAAAGTTCCAAGAGATGTACTTCTGTCATGAGATGTCTGGGGCCATCAAACTGAATCAAATGTCTTCTAGCTTTTTCACTGACAGCACTAGAAAATGCTCACAACATTATCCAGAATCAAAGAAGGATGATTTTATGGTCAATATACATGCACCAAAGCCAAGACGTGAACACGTCCATTTCAGAAAAAATTTCAATAAGCAAAAATATCCAATTACCCAAAACACACTTACCAAACATGCTGGTTGTCTGAGGTTTTGCTTTATTATCTGTTATAATTGACAAGCTTCACAAGTGGTTTGAAAAAATGTAAAATGTTTAATAACTCGCCTCTTGAAAGTTTCTCTTAAATTCTAAACTTACCATGGCAGCATTCGAAAGTCTCCAGAGAAGTCTTCATACTTGTAGTTCACCACGTGCCAATCTGTGCTATAGGTTTTAATACACTGAAAGAAAATAGGAATCTTTAATTTGAAATGTAGGAAAGGTACATGCACACTGTTTTTATGTCTGGTAGTAAGCTGACGGGGCTTCTCTAGTGGTTCAGGGGTAAAGAATCTGCCTGCATGCAGGAAACCTGGGTTCAATCCCTGGGTCGGGAAGATCCCCTGGAGGAGGGCATGGCAACCCACTTCAGTATTCTTTCCTGGAGAATTCCACGGACAGAGGAACCTGGTGGGCTACAGTCCATGGGGTCACAAAGAATCGGACATGACTGAAGCGACGAAGCAGCAGCAGCAGCAATAAGCTGACAGACTTTTAAAAATCATCTGGGGAATGCTGGTACTGAGATCTTCCTTTGGGGATCAACTGTGTCTTCCTAAACCAGTTGGTGATAATAAATCCCAATTCACATGTTCTCTTGGACTCTCTGACTTCAAGTCCAATGTATTCAAGTTTATTAAAAAAAAAAAAAGACTAAGAATACAAGCTACTTGTGAAAGTATTTAAGCTGTATCCTCTATGTCACATCAAATAGACTTGTTATATAGGTCAGTTAAGTTCTAGTAATTTTGTTTTCCATTTACACTGAGTATTTTAAATACAGTATTTATTAAATGAATGAATAATGACTTTTCTTCTGTGGCCTCTAAGCTTCTTACCTCTTTGACAAACAAACTCTGGGCCCTCTTCTCACCATCTTCTGGTACAGTGGACTGGACCGTTCGGCGTTGACGACTGATCACAGAGATCTAGAAGACATAGAATATTCTTGCTAAACGAACCAGACTGAAAAATGCAATTTTGAAGAAGTACTAGTGGACTCACAGATATATCTTCCATTGGAAACATAAGCAGGTCTCGGAGCGGGTCACTGTAAATCTGAGTTTTTCTTTGGGCGATAACATTCTCATAGTCCAAGGGCTCAACAACTTTGGTCTTTTCCTTTATAAAAGACAAAAAGAAAGTAATACTGTCAAACGGACTGAAGTTCCTTGTCATATGTCTAAGATACATTATTTCACCAAAGGGATTACTGATAATCAGCACTTAAGGGAGACACTTTTATGAGAGAAACCATCTCTATAATTAGACACACACACCAAATACACACACACACACACACACACACACACACACACACACACACATCTCTGCCAAAGGCAAGAGTTCAAGAGAGACAGCCCTGTACTCTGCTTGTCCGTATACCTCCCAACAATTTATTGAATTTAAGGCAAAACAAAAAATGGCCTATTTAGAAGCCTGTGAGTTGATAATGAGTATGCACTATTCACTGGGTAACTGAAAGGGAAAGAGTATCAACATTCCTGTGCCCATTCGTTACCAGGCATGCTGTCCAAAGAATGCCTTAAGTTCTGCCATAGCTGGGGCAGGTATGGGTCCTGAAGATGCTTGATTCAGTGGACAGGGCATGAAAGGATGAGGTTCCGGGTGGCAAAGTCAGGGGTCCCTGTGAGACTTGCAGGTGACACAACCATTGACAGTAGAGTCCAGCCCGAGACTAAGGTTACCAGGAGCAGGGTTAGTGACTCTGAGAAATCCAGGATGTTATTCATTTAATAAGAGTGATAACAGCATTTACTAAGCCCTTTCTAGATGCCAGGCACCATGCCAAGCGCTTTCTCTACAGTTTTTCATGTAAGACTCATAATAAAAAAAAAATTTTTTTTTAAAGACTCATAATAACCCTATGAAACAGGTTGAATCTTTGTCTCCATTTTACAGATGAGGAAATCATGGACTCAAATCAGGTTAAGTAACTTGCCCACCTTCAGAGCTGGAATTAGACCTGCATCTGACTCCAAAGCTCTGTTCTTTCTACTTCATGCAGCCTTCCCTTGCCTGAGAAATACAGAAAGATACTAAAAAGCAAGGTACTGAACTTGGAATAGGATTCCATCTCCTACCTTCAACAAATCTAAAAGATGCTAACAAAAACAGTATAGAGGTGTCTCAAGAAATTAATAATAGAACTACCATATGATCTAGCAATCCCACTTCTGGATATATATCTGAAGGAAAAGAAATCATTATCTCAAAGAGATAGCTGCACTCCCAAGTTCACTGCAGCATTATTCACAATAACCAAAACACGGAAACAACCTAGGTTTCCATCAAGAGAGGAATGGACTTTTTAACAACATAACGTATATAGATAGATAGGTAGGTAGATAGATAGGAAGAAAGGTTGTTCAGTCACAGAAAAGAAGGAAATCTGCTGCTTGAATAAATCTTGAAGGCATTATGCTAAGTGAAATAAGTCAGTATTATACGGTATCATTTATATGGTAGAATCTAAAAAAAAGTAGAATGGTGGTTGCCAAGGGCAGGGGGATGAGGGAAAATGGGGGAGAAGTTAGTCAAAGGGTACAAACTTTCAGTTATAAGTTAAGTTCTGAGGATCTAATGTACAGCATGGTGACTATACTGTATTGTATACTTGAAATTTGCTGACAGTAGATCTTAAGACATTCTCACACACACAAAAAAGGTAATCATGTGAGGTGATAGATGTGTTAATTAACTTGATTGTGGTAATCACTTCCTGATGATACATATATATTAAATCATCACATTGAAGCTTTTAAATATATACTTTTATTTTTCAATTATATCTCAATAAGTCTGCTGGAAAAAAAGATCTGAACAAAGATATACTTTATTTCAAGTCAAATTTGGATTTATCAACCCATGGGACTAAATCAAGCAGATTATCCCTATCATGTCTATAGATATGCATGTAAAATGAGTTGAAACAAAAGAAAAAACTCTTAGTTTGAGAACGCAGAGCTTTTTCTGATAGGAAAATTTGACCCCCTTGTCCCACATCTACCATGTTTCATGGACCCAATGAAAGAACACTGTGAATGCAGCTTCCAACCCTAACAACCAGAGTGTGTGATCCATTTCTCAGAGAAAAATGAGAATAAAGTGAATAAAGCCCCATCGAAGAAGGCGAGACTTAGTGAAAAAAATTTCAAAGTCTTGCTTTTGGTGCCAACTATCTTCTCATACAGATTACAAAAACAGTCCTCAAATTTCAATGTTTAACCTGTTGGATTAGCATCTATTAATCTCTCTGCATAGTAATTTCATAAGTACCTACTCAAAGTAACTTTGAAAAAGAAAAAATCCTCCTTCAGCTTTCTAACGTAGTTGTCAAATTAATATGCTAAAGGATACAGCAAAATGAACCACTTATTTACATGTGCAGTATATGCACTCTAAAAATGAAACTTGCAGTTCTCCGTGTGTTTTAAAGGCCACATATTCATGTTACAGAAAACAAGGTTTCACTTTTCATAGAAAACTGATTCAACTAAGCATTCTGGGTCTTTGGTCCTATTTCTTTATCAGTGGTAGCTCGAATGCAGAAAAAGGTAGAGTAGCTATTCTGAGTCCCACAGATCTTCCCCTGAAAGAAGATCTAGGCCTGTGAATCAAGCTTCATCTTTTTAAGAGGAAAAAGAGAAGGACTAAGGGCTCCCTCCCATCAGCCAGCTGCCTCTGATCTGAATTTTTTTCTCCAGCCCTCTCCCAGGCATTAAAAGCCCAAACTGTCAGTGGAAGAGAAAGGCTACAGTAGGAGTCAGCCCAAAAGAACCTCATCCTACATTTCCCTTCCAGTAGGATTCAGTGTAACTCTGTTGGCAACAGAGACAATGAAAACCTTTGACTTTTAGAATTATCATGATTTAATAGCAGCTCTGCCTGGCGGTCTATGTATACTTTTTTTAAATTAATTTGCATTGGAGTAGAGTTGCTTTAAAATGTTGTGTTCATTTCTACTGTATAGCAAAGTGAATCAGCCATGTGTATACAATATATCCCCTTGCCTGGCAGTCTAGAACATAAAACGCTTATCTAACTTTCCTATTTGGCTTTATCATTTGATGATCAGACTTACAGGGTTACCCTAAATAAAGCTTCCATCATACACAAAAAGGGTCTTCCTTTCAGGTTTGGGCACTGCCTTCCTGCCAGTTCGTGCACTGATTGACCTGAAAAGGTGCTTTCTCATAATGCAAGAACACTGTGTTATAATAAACGGTACTTTATAAACATCCAAATCATAGCAAGCTCCCACTGTGTACTTCTCTAAATTCTGTAGCAGCATTAAGTAAAAGGCAAAAGCACTTATATAATCTGGAGAGAAGCAAGCATATGTTTCAGTCTTCTCTTCCTAAGTAGTGACAGGAAAACCGTCAGCCTAAATTTGGAACCTACTCAGTTTTCACCATGTAGGAGAAAAAAAAAAGGTTTGCCTTTGAAAGTTCATAGTCACTGATTCCTGAGGGCGCTTGAAGCAACTTGTTGGTTATATTATTAGGGGTTTGGGTGTTGTTTTACTCCAAAATGACTTTAAAGTTTTAAGAAAACACTTTCAATATGTATTCTACCTGTTTCTTAACCCAAACCCCTGAAATAGACAAGGAAAATACTATTGTTTCAAAGTTACACATGAAGAAACTGGCTCAGAGGCTTAAGATCAGCTGTCTATATCCAACGGTAGAATCTGGATTCAAATCCAGGTCTTCCAACTACTGAGCCTTTTTCTGTTTTTAGTGTGCTTCGTGCTCAGTCGCTGCAGTTGTGTCCGACTCTTTGCAACCCCATGGACTGTAGTCGGCCAGGCTCCTCTGTCCATGGGATTCTCCAGGTAAAAAAACTAGAGTGGGTTGCCATGTGCTTCTCAAGGGGATCTTCCCAACCCAGGGATCAAACCCAGATTTCCTGCATTGAAGGTGGATTTTTTACCCACTGAGCCACCTGGGAAGCCCCTCTGTTCTTAGCAGTGTCTCCCAACTCAACTTACTCATGTAAAAAGTCTTCAAAGATTTTTGCCACAACTTCTGCGCTATTATATACTTCATATTTGTCTTCAAATCTCTTTTCCATTGAAATGGATTTACTGAAACAGTAAACTTCGTATCAGTCCCCCAGAGGAAACTAAGTCAATATTTTCCTGATCCCTAGTAAAATAAAATTTTAAATGTCAATCTCTGTACCGTGGTTTAGGACACAGTACACTCTTCCAAACTTAGGACACTAGGACCAAATCTAAATAGACGTCCATGTATAAATCCTCAAACTGTGAAGAAATGCACAATTCCACAAATTAAGATAACTTTCTGATTTCTAACATAGATTGAAATGACAGAGATTGAAAAAGGGAACTCATCTGTACAGATTCAGATACAATCTGCTTCTTGGTACAAAGAGAGGAAGGTGCAAAGACGTATCCTCATTGGGAATCACCACCAGCATCAAACACTGAAGACTTTATGCTTTAGTGGTGGTCCCTGTATATCTACTGTACAGTGTGACTGATCATTCATCCTCTTAACTTATGTATGTATCAATGTAAAACCAAGTTTGCAATCCTAAAATAATATGCAAATACGTACATGCAAGCATATATTCAACCCTCCAACCACTCATGTATTTAAAAGGGCACAGGGACTTCCCTGGTGTCCAGTGGCTAAAACACCACACTCCCAATGCAGGGGGCCTAGGTTGCATCCCTGGTCAGAGAACTGGATGCCACATGCCACAACTAAGACCTGGAGTAGCCAAATAAATAATAAATAAGTAAAAATAAAAGTGCACATTACTAGCAAGCTGGTTTATGCTATATCATTGGAAACTGTATCATTTTAATTTAATTTTTAAAAAGTAATCATAATCATGTAATATTTTTCTGTCAACAGTGCAAAATCAGCCTGGGTTACTTCTGTTTAGATATTACACCAAAGGTCATTCGTTCGCTGGTAAATTTTTGACTTTAGAAACTAGTTCTCCTTAAGAATGCTAAGAATGTCTCTTCTGCAAGTCTGCAGTGAACACTGCTTGACAGAATCCCTTCTGTATCACACTGGGAGAGAGAGCAGAGCAGGCAGAAGGCTTAGCAGTGGGGCATGGAG